TGAAAAATATTAACATATGAGTAGTTGGTGTGTATAACTGTGCATTCCAAGCATGCCGTTAACCAGGAAACTTATGTGAACGAGTATCTAGAAAAACGTTTGTTGCATTTCCTGAAGCAACACGATTGTACCGTGCTGTTTTGGACGGATTTGGCATCCTACCATTACGGCAAAAGACCATGGAGTGGTATGCCGCCAACAAAGCGAAGGTAGTGCCTAAGGACAAGAATCCTCTCAACACGCCAGAGCTCCACGCAATCGAAAAATATTGGGCCATCGTCAGCGGCACCTGAAGAAGACCCAAAAAACTGTTGCAAGCGAGAAGCAGTTTAATGGGTTAGGCCACTGTAGCGGGTTCAAAAATTGGATTTTTGTTTTGTTTTAAATGATAATTTTTAACGGCGCCGGTGGTGTAGTGGTAAGCATGATTACCTCTCACCCCAGCAGGCCTGGGTTCAATCCCAGTCGGCACCGCCGGGATGCTCTGAGGCATAACATCTGTGATCACGCCTTCCGTCGGAAGGGAAGTAAAGCTGTTGGTCCCCGGATCATGAGTTGATGGGTCGATAGGTAAGATCCAGGTGTGGGAGCTTTGTCCCTTTCGTTGGTAGCATTGGTGATCACCACGGAAAACAAGATCGACGGAAAACAAATCAGGGGAAAAAATGATAGTTTAGAGTCTAAAGAATACGGGACAATTGGTTTTATATCCGGGTACACTTTATTTCGCATTATTTTGGAGCTGAAACTAAGGGACCACCTGCGCGCTCCCGGCATGACATTTATCTTTAATCGCGTTTTTCTCGAAACCATGTTTTTCAAGCCGGGCGAAAACGAAAATCAATTTTGATATGTTAAGTTGCTCTCAGTTTGTTGGTACAAATTATATTCATCGGTGTACATAAACATTTCTACTTCAAAATCCACGAAGATTGTGATTTAACAGCTATTCTGAGGTGTGAGCAAAACAATAACCTATGGCCAGTACTGATGCGCTTACCCTATTTCTAAATGATTAATCGACTTGATTTTTTTTTGAGTTTGTTCTACATACTTTTTTCTAGAGACATACCTGAGTTTTTATTTTTATCCCTAACAGTTTTTTTTTTGTAATTAACGATTATATTTGATATTTTTGCCGGAAAATCATACCACTTTTTTCAAACGCGCGCCATTTTGTCAAAAATCATGTCACTAGTTTAAACATCCTAGTTTTTGAAACTTTTATCCATTTTGTTCTAGGACTACCTCTGGCTGCAAATCATTCCGCCCGCAAACCGCTTCACGCCGGAGATGCCATCACTAAGACGACTACAGCACCACCTCGCTGCACATTTCAAAAACCAAAATTTGGGAAAATATTGTTTAAAATATTTTTAATAAAATGCTGAAAACCGCATTCTTTTAAAAAAATTTCTGTTCGCCAAAAAATCGCGAATTTGGCCCTTTTTTTCGGCTTCTACGCTGGCCTAACTCCTTAAGGAAAACTGGTGTTCTGTGGCAAACGAAGTGGACTAGGTTCTGAACAGAATCTGATGGCAGAAGTTAAACGAAAGGCCCGGCAATTCGGATTCAGTCAACCAGAAGCTTGACTGATTTTTTTTTCTGTATGGTATACAAATTAAATTAAAAGAAAAATTTCATTTTCTTACTAACAAAATTAATCAATTTACTCGCATTCTTGTTTGACCGAATTTCAATCGCAACACCCTTTCGTAAGTAAACACAAGCGAAGTTCAACCAAACCTGCTTACGTAACTACTGAATAGTCCCTAAAATAAAGCGATTGGTTAAATGAAAATTGTAGGTACCCTTCCTCTGCAATATTTTTTATCACGTTGCTTTAATTTCACTTTGAGTTGAGCGAGCAGGTTACTTTTGTTACGTTGCCCCGGTGAGTACGAGCATGGTAACACAAATCGGTTTTGGATGATATTGCTTTGATATTTTCATGAAGAAAATCATAAATTCATGACAGGGTAAATGTTGCTTCGATAATACCTTTATCTAGGATCGTCAGGGGGTAGATGAAGACCTAGAGAGCTCATTTTTGTAAAATATGGCTCTTTTGCATGATGTATTCTTATGCAAAAAATGAGCACTTTTATCTTTTAGCAAATTTGTATATTATCGGAGTTGGAACCAGAGAAGTCGAAACAAAGCATGTTTTTTATTTGAATGCTTGTATGACAAGCGCTGTTTCGACTTCCAAAGTGAGGCCCCAGTTCCAAGTCAGTGCTCAACAAAACTATTTGTTAGTGTGAACTAAACACTTAAAAATACCTAATCTTACACGTGACGGAATTCATCTTTGACATAAAGGATGAGACGTAAACAAACATGTCATGTAAAATTAAGTGCTCTGAACTGAAAAGTTCGAAAGTACGTTTGATTGAGCTGAATTTTGCGTCTATTATGACTCAATTTTATGTCAAAATTGATGCTCGTATATATCAGTCTCAGAGCACCTAAATTTACATGATTTTTTTAAGTGTGTAGAGATGGGCGATCCGCTCCCGAGCTGTTCTATAGACTCGATTCTCTAAAGTGAGCTGATGACCCGCGGCTTATTTGAAGGAACCGCAGCTCATCAGCTCACTGATATCACAATTCTAAGCCATTCAATCCATCGCTCATAGCGGAGCATTTCAAAAAAGGATTCATTACTTCACTTACGCATTGAATAGTCACCGCGTAAACCAAGACGCGCGCGTAATACACCATGTGCCTACTGATCGATAGCACCAATGGTAAAAGAAAACTTCCAAGTGGCTCTTTGGGAGAGAGAGACACATGACCTACACGATGTTAATTTTCTACTGGTATCATCCAATTTATTTATGTACCCGGCTCTTATTGCTTATGTTAAATATTCCTCGCAAATAACCGAAAAGCGAAATACAGCTCTCCAGCTTATCAGCTATCGAATAATTTACTCGGAGTTGTTTATGATGACAACTCTCGGACCTGTCCAGCTTTCGAACCCGTCCAGCTCTTCGATTTTTTTTTTCTCTCTCGATTCTTCACAATTCAGCTCCGGATCCAGATCTGAGCTGATGATCTGGAGCCAGTCATGCCACATATACAGATTTATATGTAATCATACAGATTACAGATTTTTGATAAATATGCAGATTTTTCATATAAAGGGAATGTTTTTTACTTTATTTTTTATATTCATTAATTACGATAAATAATTATTTTTTTTTCCTTTTAAGCAACTTGAATTCAATCTGAGCATCAAACCCAAATCGTATTTTCACTAAATACTATAAATATTATTATTTTAGCTTCCAATGGACTTGGAATCTTTCAAATGTACCCCTCTGATGTTCAGATGTTCTGATTTCTCGTTGGAAGGGCTTTTAGATCTATTTGAAGGTTAATTAAATATATGTTGTTGTCAAATCGATAAACATGCCATTTTAGAAAACCAACAAAGTGGTTGATTACAGTTTGTGAGTCGAAGAGTCAACTGTATATTTTTATCTTACAAAAGCATAATTACAGAAATAAATATTATTGCATGTCATCCGACTAAACTTCCAGTAAAAGTTCTGTGTTATGTCCAATGTCCAGATAAAGGTTATCATAATCTCAGACATAAAAGAATAATTCTAGGGAATTGTGATTGTTACTTCATTAAGTTTTCTGCCGGAAACAGATTTGTCTCTCATAACTTTTACTAAATGTTTTATAGAAGAGATACAAAACACATGAAGATTATAGGGTTTCAAGATTTTTAAAATAAAAAAAAAACAAATTCTCTACAAAGCAAACTCTAGTCATATTTCATGATTCTAAACTATGAATTTGCTCAATGGAGATTTACGTAAATCTGTACTGAGACCATAATACGGAAATTATACAGATTTGTGTTCAGATTTTTGTCTGCCAGATACAGATTAAAAAGATTTTATGTGATGTAAATACAGATCTAAATTAGAAAAAAATGTGGCATCACTGTCTGGAGCTAAAGCCGCAAATAGTGAGAGAAATTCTGCTGGAGAATTGACATCAGAAATAAAATCTGTATGTAGACTGAATTGCATAGCTTGAGAAAAGGCGTAGCATCGTGTGCCACGATGTGAATCATCGCGTGTGACATAGGTGTAGCTCTCTCGCATACATTTTTTGCTTTTACTGATATGTTGTTGGCACATATTGCGCGAATTTTGGTTTACACGTGGTTGATCAGTTGCTGCGTTAGTGGCGTTTTCCATTTAAAAGTAGAACCATATTGTAAGGTATGGATTTATTGGTTTAGACTACTTTTATGATTGTATGCAGTTGCACTTAAACCACTGATTACTTTTGATTTTGTGTCACAATTTTCATAATTTCAATATGAGCTGAAGAGTTGTTTAAAAGAATCGACTCCCTTTAGTGAGCTGGATGGGTTTGACCCACTCAGCCAGATGAGCTGTTTTGCCCACCTCTAGTGTGAACCTCAAATCAAGGTAGACTTTAAAAACAAATTATTGATCACACCTGCATATGCTCCAGATACCAGTGTCGAAGCACTTTAAAGTTTAAATAATGATTATTTCTTCTAGCGGTGACAAGTGCCTTTCTCGTATAATTTGAATTAACTTTATGTCATATTTTCGGAGATGAACCAGCCTGCGGCTGAAAATCTCCTAGATAGAGGAAATCAATCAACCTCATATTTTGGTCACTATAGCAGAGCCACTGGAACATGCCTGAATGTTAGACAATAAATAATGGGAAATCCAAATCATATCTGGGTGTAATACTTAGACTGTCTATTGCATCACGGACTAAGTCCAAGTTAGGCCAATTGCAAGCGTTATTTTCCTGGTGGACGGGTCAGGTATTGAACCCTCGACCTTCTGTTCACTGCACAGAAACTCGGCGCACTGATCCACCGAACCCGCCTTCAGTTTCCGAAATGAATCAATAATTCCTCACAATAAGGAAATTTACCCTGATACGCTAAATAGTACCTACAATCGTATAATGCATTTCCGTATACTCACAAATGTAATCTCCACTGGTGGTCCGGTGCAATCCGCTCGTCCTACCCCGATTCGATAGGCACTGGCCATGTTTGACGTCATCACTATGCTAACCAGCAGTAAGTACGCACAGCATGTCCAGCACAGGTGTTGAATATTTATCATATTTCACTATCTGGCAGTATTCAGCAGAAGGATACCCAAAGATTGTCAAGTGGGTGTGCTGGTTGGTTGGTTGGTTGGTTGGTTGACCTTCTTGGTCGTTGCTATCGTCACTTCCGTTCTGAACTGTCGCTCAGATCACAATGGCATCTTCTTCGTTCGGCGGAACGAGTCTCTGCGGAGAGAAAGAGGAAAAATCGCATGTGGGAGGTGAATATTAAAATTACTGATTAGCATAGAGTACTGAGCAAACATGAGCAGTTCAATGAAGAATCACCGGAGCTTATTTGCGCAAATCCAAGCCGAGAGGAGATGTTACCGCCTGCTCGTCAGATATACCACACATGCCGGTAGAAAATGTTCGTTTATGTGAGCGGAATCTGATTGAATTACGTGACGGGAATTAGCGAGCAGGAAGTAGAATAGGTGTACATATATATTTGCTATAATGTAGTGCAATCTAGAGATTATTTAAGCTGACAAACATGTCACGCATCACTAGTTCTAACGGAGTTGCATAAATGCCATGCATACTATATCCAAATGAAGTGCGACTGTGACCCCACGAGAGTTCGTTATACTAACTCTAAGCCGTTAACGATCAGCTGAGCGCTAGAGTCAAGAAGCCTATGTCTATGAGGAAGTGTGGAACATATGTAGACTTTGGCCAACGAAGCGCCAATAAAATGAAATACCGTAAGTGGGAGTGGCATTGGGCGAAAATATCAAAAATATTCGTTCCCTACCTTACAGCATTGACATTTTAGCAAGGAAACAATTTTAATCATGTGAATATATTCATCAATGATATATTTACGAATGTCATAGAAATGATTGATTGAAATTGGTATGTCATTTTAATTAAATTAAATAAAAAATAGACCGATGTAAAATATTATGTTAAAATATCTTAAAATATGTAAATGTAGCGTATCTTTTAGAAGTACACTTGGTTATGATCACAATATATTTCGTATGTATGGCGAAAGATCGCGTGTAGCCCTCGTCTATCCACATGAATATGTGTTCAAACTTTTGTTTGCCTGGTCATTTTAAAAACCGTGGTTTCGGTACAATATATGACACGTAACTTTTCAGCACTATTTAAAAATAACGATTGGTTAATGCAGGGTTGCTTTCACTCATTTGCTATACAAAAATGATTTTCTGAATTTTGAAATCATTCGATGTTAAATATAATGATATTTTGTACTTGTAAGATACAAGAAGAGGATGCAAGGCAAGTGTTTTACTCATAAAAACTGTCAATTTCGCTACCATAGTGTTACAATAAGTGATTTTGTGATTCGTGAGTGTTCACTCAGAGTGAGCACTTGCGAGTCGTAAAATCGCTGATTGTGATTATCTGAAAGCAAATTTGACAGGTTTCATGTGTCAAACACTTGCATTTCAACCTTTTCTTGTATCTCACAAGTACAAAATATTGTTATGACATCTAATGATTTAAAAATTCAGAGAATCGTGTTTTTATAGCAAGTAAGTGGAAGCAAGCCTGATGTTATCTGCACTTTACTCCAGGAGTTCAAAAAACATACTCTAGTCATCATTTTCCAAAATAAACATTTTTTTAAAACCAATGTCACCCCGTCTTACGGTCTCACAAAACTGACGGTCACCATCCACGACTGTTGTTGGTAAGATTCTTTGAGAGAAGCAATTTGTTCGTCAGTTTCTGCGAATGTCACTAAGTGGCTGCTGCAGTGGTACTGATTTTTAAGTGCAATGTACTCCGTTCACAAAGATTCAGAGTTCAATGTAAACTGAGTGCTATGTTAACTGTACAGGAAATCATTAATTTCCATTAATTATATCAGACCTCTTAACGGAATCTATGAACAGTTTCAGGAGTGGTTTGAGTAATTTCCTCCTTATTGGATTCGTTAATTTGAAACTGTAACGTACATAATTTGTCTAATAAAATGTGGCTTAAGGTTTTGGATTAAAAGCTTAAAAGCAGTAATATTTTATAACATAACCACAAAATAGGATGCCTTGAAGTTTTTAACTGTGTAGTGATCGACTTCACCTCAATGAATTTTACGTTTTTATTAATAACATAATCAAACTAAATCTCCAACGTGGTTTTTTTAACCGCAAGCTAAAGTTCCCCTTTGTCCAGCTCTGTAGCGAAAATAACAATAATATAATGCATATACATATAAAAATGATAGCGCCGTACCGGACCGTGCATCGCGAGTTACTCAATCGATCGGATTCAATCGGCATGATCGCGTGAGTTCGCGGTAGCCCGACCTAGCTCCAAAAAATCGTCATAGCACGTTCATGAACAAAACCGGTCCCTCCCACTACTGCTGCATGGAGCATTTAGCCGCGTCTACGGGCAGCTTAGACACTGCAAGAGAGACAACGGTACATTGTCGCTATGAATCCAGCAACTTTTCTCACTAGTTTTGCTGCAGCGAACTCTTTCCACCACGCGGTGTTTGACAGTCAACGTCATCTTATGAAGATGTCAAGGTTACTTTCCTTACCGATGTGAGGATGTTTTTGTGGAACTGAATCAACACCTTGACCTTGAGAAAACAACTAGCTCGACGATTATTCGACTGTGCAAGAAATGTTAGTATCACATCGTTTGTTGAACCGTTCAGCGGTGATAGTGGAATTTAACTTTTGATAAATTCGATTTGCTTCGTATTTTGAAAAGTGGACACACAGTTGAAGACGCATGGACGCAATGGTCTTGAGCATGACTGAGGTGTTTTTAATTACCGTTTCCGGCGAGGAAGTGAATGCAGCAATGGTTGCAATTGAACCGGCTGAAATGTTTGCGAAATTGTACCGTCATCACCTTCAAGGGAAAATCGAAATAATAAAGATGAATCCTTCACGTATCAGCAGTGTTTAAAATGGAAAACTATAGACATGAGTTATTGTTTCAAATTAAAAAAAAACACGTGAATTAATCAACTCGTATGGATGTATGCGTGATCGTGTTTTAGGGCTCATGGGTGTAAAATCAGATTATAGTTGAATTGAATATTTATCAATGTACACAGTTAAACATTATTATGAAATCTTACATTAATTTTTATGCGCACAAAAAGAGCATGCAAATTATTTAAAATAAGCTCGGTTTTAAAAATTACTGGACTTGAAAATTAATGCATGAAAAATTATAGCTCAATTGAATTTTACTTATATCAAATAAGGCCTAGCACAGTTCAGCTAAAAAGGATTCAAACTTTTTGTCCTTACCAAGACTACTACACCGTAAAAGGTTACAGTTTGACAGAAAATATACGAAATCGAAACGAAACGAAATTTAATTCACTAAGAGGGCGGTATCGTAAGCGAACTTGAACATGTTCGTATGAGCATGAGCATAGACATAAGCATGATTGGATGCAACACCGTTATAGCTAGATCAGCTGTAATTACACAGATAATCAATAGACGTTGCTTGAGACTAGCAATCATTCTCAATATGTAAATTTGGGTGATCTAAAACTAGGCAATACCAGCACCGGTCAAGAAAGGAATGCTGACGTAAAGGAATGTTGACGTACTGCTTGCTTTTAGTATAAGTTCTCCGCTCGATAAAAAAAATAAAAATATGTTTTGATTTGTCTAAAAATATTGGAAAAATATATAAAAAATCTAAAAGAAATCTATAGAAAAAAAGTGAATATTTTTTTGTCAGTCATCATGGCATAAACTTTGACTCAAAAAACCACAAAACATCGGTGATCATTTTAATTATCACAGCAACAGTTGCACATCCGTTATATTTTCACAAGTGATATTTTGAAAAATGATAAAGTCTTAATTTCCACAGATTCGCAGAAAAGTTCCTATCGATGGCCGTATTAGGAATTAAAATCCATCATCTCTGGATCAAAATCAAACCACTTTTATGCCATGACCGACTTTGGTTTTTGAAATCGCACCCAAAATTTTGCCCTAAAGTACATGGTATGTTAGATTTAAACATATTTAGATAGAGCTGGAATTAGGCGTAACACCTTTTGTCTCATCCTACCTGATGGTGATGTTGATTTGCAGAGGTGAGCCTTGATTGTCAAGATATCATCGAAAGAAGTCATTGTTTACAAAAGCTGTTACGCCCTAATTCCAGCTCTATCTTAATATGGGAACTGACATCTGATTAATGACCTTGAAAAATGTCCAAAAATTACTCTTGACAGATGAGGCTGGTGGTATGGTGTTTGGAATGAGGGTGACGTGCTTGGCATAGATGGCCCACAGCGACTCACGAAGATGCTCCTTCGATGGATGCTCATGTGGACTGCAGCTCATTGCTTGCAGGCAGCCTTTCGTTGTGTACTGGAGAGCAAGGCTCAACGCCACGCGCTGAAAGCACTGCTGCTGCTGCTGCAGCTGATGCTGACGACTAGACACCACTACACACGGTAATTGGAACTGAACCGCGGTTGAGGCCAGTCTTGGTATCTAACTGCTTGCTGGGAGCTTTTCGTTGTAATTCGCGGTGATTGAATATACAACGTTTGGTGAGACCGGATGGAATTCTACTTTGAAATCTGTGTTAGGGAAATCGCTTTTCACAGGCAATCGGCGATTATTTTAATTATCAAAGCAACAGTTGCATATTCGTGCAATTTGCAATAGTGGCATTTTGAAAAACTTAACAGATGCGTAGAAATATATCTGATCGATTGGTGATACAGGCACTTAGAAAACAAATTGCTTGATTACGTTTTCAATACTATGAGTAAACTAATGTCAACTTTGAGTCGACCTCATTTGTTGTGTAATTGTAATATAAGGTTCAATTCGTTAAAAGCAGGTCTTTTTTGCTTGAACATGACTTTTTCAAAATTTGCATCTATTTCATGACCCCCTGGTAAAAAAAGAGTAGGCTGTGCGTGTGATCGAACCTGACGTTTGTTTTTTTCCGTGGAGTTTTTATTTATTTTATTTATAATCGGTTATTGATCTGGCCAAAACCAGACCCAGGAGATACTTTCTAGTTCTTCAGTGAGTTCACTAAGACAGCATCAGTCCCCTTCTCCAGTATTCATTGACGTTTTTTTGAAGAATAAACATTATATTTTTAATAAAACATAGGGGAAAAGTTGGCTTCGTCCTTGAGAGCTCAATTTTGACATGTGGATACATTGTGTTTCAGAGCAACTATTGGCCAAATTTGAG